AGACTATGAGTTACTAAAATACTTGCAATCTTAGGCCAAATTATCTCGACGACAAACCTGTTGGGTTGAGACACTCCAAGCATATGACTTTACTATTAAATATCGATCAAGAAAATCTAATATTGTAGCAGATGCCTTATTAAGAAAACCTGAAGCCAATATTATTAGTGAAATTAATATAGATGCAAATATATATGAAAGAATAAAACAAGACTATAAAGAAGATACTTACTTCTAAAGAATCCTAAAAGTATTAAAAAAACCCTAATTGTGATGAAGCAAAAAAGTTGGGCAAACAACTGAATCATTTTGAATTACAAGAGAATAGGTTAATTTTCTTCAATGAAGATAAAGAAAACCCTCGGTTGTGCTTTACAAAAAATTTCAAAACATGTATATTGTTGCTTAAAGAACAACATGATTTGTGTGGCCATTTTGGATTTGAAAAAACATATGAAGGACTGAAATAGCACTATTACTGGAAAGAAATAGCAAAGGATATAAAAAAATATATATATAGCTACGATAGCTGCCAACGTAATAAAGACTCCACACAAGCTCTAGCAGAGTTGTTACAACCTTTGAAAATCTCTATGCAACCTTGAGAAGTAATTTTAATAGATTTTATTACACACCTGCCATGTACAAAAAATAGTAACAACTCAATCATAGTAGTAGTAGATAAACTAAATAAAAAGGCTCATTTCTTATCTACAAAGGGAACTGTATCAGCAATAGAGATAGCATAGCTCTTTTTCCATAAAATATTCAGATATCATAGCCTACCTTGATATATTGTTTCAGATAGAAACCCAAAATTTACAAGTAAATTTTGAAAAGACCTCTTTAAAATCTTAGAAACTGAGTTGAAAATGTCTACTGCCACGCACCTTTAAACTAATGAACAAACAGAACGCATGAATCGAATACTTGAAGAAGTTCTTCATATCTATGTAAATTATAAGCAAATAATTGAGATCAACTCCTAACAGCTGCTAAATTTGCTTACAATAATTCACTACAATCCTCTACAGGGTTTATTTCTTCCAGTTAGATAATGGCCATCATCCTATTACTCCTTCTAGTTTAATAGTCAGTAATCATCAACAGACTAATATAAAGGCAGCACAAGAATTAATAGAACATTGGGTAACAATGATTAATGTTGCAAGAAATGAATTGGTAAGTGCTCAGGAAAAACAAGCATACTACGCCAATAAGAAAAGGCACTATGAAGAATTTAACAAAGAAGATTTAGTAATATTAAATGCTGCAAATTTACCCTCACCTGAAAATTCAAAACGTCTAACGAAAAAACTTACACCAAAATTTATCAGACTATTTAAAATTATAAGAAAAATTTCTACCACAGCTTACCAATTAGAATTACCTGACACCTTGAACGTTCACCCAGTTTTTCATATTTCACTATTGAAGTTGTACCACCAAAATGAGTTTGAAGGAAAAAATATTGCGCAGCCTCTGCCCAAAATCATTATAAAACATGACTTAGAACTAGAATTAAAAGTCGAAAATATATTGGACAAACGTATTTTTCACCAACAAGTTCAATACCTTGTGAAATAGAAGGGTTACTCACTCTACGATGCTACTTGGAAACCTATAACAAACCTTGGAAACTGTAAAAACTTGGTAAAAGCGTTCAAAAAGAAAGAAAAAATTGTTTTAAATAGAGGAGAGTGTAAGGGTTTAGATATAGATTACATCAATTGGAGTAGTACAAATTACGTGATATATGATTTGCGTAATAAACAAATTGGGATCAATGAATACAAATCACATGACTGCACCACGGAAGGTTACGTGATGAACCTGACTAAGTCGAAACTATATCATAGTAGTAGCAACCTGTGTTATGTGCATTAGTAATATAGTAATTAGTAGTATTAGTAGCAACCTGTGTTATATGTATTAGTAATATAGTAATTAGTAGTATTAGTAGCAACCCATGTAATGTGTATGAATAATGTACATAGTAACTAGTAGTAATAGTAAACGTATAATAAATGTAGTTATAGGCATAATTCGTATTAGTAATAGTTATATTGTAATAAGAAGGAAGAGTAAAAATCGGAAGGTATAAAAAGGAACAAAATCGGTTAGCAGAAATAGAGATATAATAAATTATTCGTACAGAAAGGAAAAATAATAAAGAAAATACATCCCTTCGCACCAAACTTTCCTGTTTTTGATTAATCTATATTTATAATAAATAGGTCTGGTTACATAAAGTGTGAATCAACTTGATGTTGTTGGCTAGTTGTTGATTAATAATCAACAACTAGCTAACCACATCAAGTTGATTTATATCTAATGTTGGTTTTCATAATTTTGTAATTATTTTTATTGTTTTTTATTAAGTTTTTTCAAACTTTGTTTTGCTGACATATTTGCTTTTGATAACACTATATCCTATACATTTTTTGCAGAGAATATACTTATAGCTTCAAGAATAAATCTTGGTCCTGATGATGTAGTTCCAAAAATAAGAGATACTATGTGGAATAGGAGTTAGCAATCAATGATTATTGAAAAAGATCATCTCATCTATAATAAAAAAACAAAGTTATTTGTTAATCTGCATGGTGAACCAAAAGAAATAAAATAGATTTTTAGCGAATGAAAACTGTGGTGAGAAGAGATGCTGCTAGAATGCACTTTGTGTAAAAAAAAACCAAATTCTAATATTATCGATTGTTGTGTATACTATTTGATAGCCAACTAGCCTAATTTTCTTGTGCAATATAGACAAATCTAAGAAAAAATTAAATCTTGTGAACATAAAGTAGTTAACTATTTTTTACTATTGACTATGCTTCTTCTCTTATTTTTTTTATTTTTTTTTTAATTTTTTTCATTTTCTTATTTTTTTTTTTACTTTTCTTAATTTTTTTTTTAGATTATCTTTTATCCAAAGTTTCATCCTGAATTCAACTATATTGAAATGTACTGAGGGCAGCAAAGAAGTATACTTGTAATAATTGTGAATATTCTTCTTTGAAGCTTAGACAAATAATTGATAATGTTTTTAACTTTATTTCAATAGAGAAAATTTGATCTTTTGTTAGGTTGTCTTTTAGATGAATAGATGTTTATCAGGAAATCTCTTCAATTCACTGACAATCATTTTATCAAATGATCATTTAGCCAATATCACATAGGGTTAAAGTTAAGCATTTTATTAGTTGCAGGTATATATTTTTACTGAATTTTACGTGATGTGATATCGTCTAAATAAGCTGTTGGTAAAGTGATTGTTGGTGAATCAATACAGATCTATTTATCAGCATGGTTTGACAGGAAAAGCTGCTAAGTATGCAATTAGATAGCATAAGAAACATCATGCAATCAATAATAAAATTATGAATCTAATTAATGCAATTTAAATTTAGAGTTTAGACAACTTTTTTTTTGTTCTGTTTAAATAATTAATAAATTACAAAAATTGCTGATGAATAAATATCATATAATTTATTCTTTAA